GAAACAGGCTCCAGGCTCCGAGCCATCAGCCCAGAGCCTGACGCGGGGCTCGAACTCATGGACCGCGAGATCGTGACCTGGCTGAAGTCGGACGCTTAACCGACTGCGCCACCCAGGCGCCCCAAAGATTTTTATTTTTAATATTTATTTTTGAGAGAGAGAGAGACCGAGTGTGAGTTGGGGGTGGGGAGCAGAGAGAGGGAGACACAGAACTTGAAGCAGGCTCTGGGCTCTGAGCGGTTAGCACAGAGCCCGACTCGGGGCTCGAACTCATGAACTGTGCGATCATGACCTGAGCTGAAGTCAGATGCTTAACTGAGCCACCCAGGAGCCCCTAAAGATTTTATTTTTAAATAATCTCGACACCCAACATGGGGCTCAAACTCACAGCCCCCTGAGATCAAGACTTGCATGTTCCACCAACTGAGCCAGCCAGGTGCCCCTGCCCATTTTTCTAATGGAGCTTTTTCTTTAGCAGAAGACAGGTCGTAAGATGTGATTGTCCTTATCAGTTACTCTGGTATGTTTGCAGGAAGCTTGTAGTTATTCCTTAAAGCCGTTTTTTTAAAAAAATTTTTTGTAATGTTTATTTTTTTTTTTATTTATTTTTTTTAACGTTTATTTATTTTTGGGACAGAGAGAGACAGAGCATGAACGGGGGAGGGGCAGAGAGAGAGAGAGGGAGACACAGAATCGGAAACAGGATCCAGGCTCCGAGCCATCAGCCCAGAGCCCGACGCGGGGCTCGAACTCACGGACCGCGAGATCATGACCTGGCTGAAGTCGGACGCCCAACCGACTGCGCCACCCAGGTGCCCCTGTAATGTTTATTTTTGAGAGAGCAAGAGAGACACAGTGTGAGTGGGGGAGGGGCGGAAAGAGGGAGACACGGAATCCGAAGCAGGCTCCAGGCTCTGAGCTGTCAGCACAGAGCCCGACGTGGGGCTCGAACCCACGAACCGCAAGATCATGACCTGAGCCGAAGTCGGACGCTTAACCAAGTGAGCCACGTGGGCGCCCCCACAAACATCATTTTATATAGTGTGCCAGAAACATGAAGAGACTAATTATTATGTAAATGCCTTTATTTGAACTAATACATTGCTACCAGATTACATCACTTTTCAGAGTTAGAGTAACATTATGATCTTGAAAACTATAGCAAACAGCTGGACAAAGCAAGAGTACATTAAGTCCTACATACATATTTTTATTCTTTAGTGACCACATCTCCTTGTCTTAGGTGTAAAATTGGAAATTCGATGGTACACTTAGCATATCCTGTCTACGGTCCGAGCACACTCTCTCCTCAAAAGTGTCATTCAACAACATTTTTAAATCCAAAGAGAGAGTCTGAGGATACAGGTTGTAACACAAAGAAGCGTATACTGAACCAAGTGTTTTAAGATAAGATGCGTCAATTGTTTACAGCTTGGGTGTGAGAGGCCAGGGTATGCAAATTGGAAGGTCCGTTTTGTTCCTCTACCTATAATGTATGGTTTTTACTTACTTGAAGACCCCTTAAAAAAAGTAGCAAAATCAGCAGTCTTATTTAATGTAATCAAAATATTCTTAAATGTACAAAAAAGATCATGTAGAAAGAATACTGTAAAAAGATACTGATTTTCAGAATAAAAGAATACGAAAAGCTTCTATTACATTCTGCACAGCCAGTTACTTCTGCCAATTTTCAGTACTACGAAGAGAAAGCAAAAGGCACTCCTATCCAAATACCCTCCGACCACAGTTCTCGAATGAGAACGAGCATACTGGGTGGAAAGCAAAATTATGGTCTAAGAATATTCACATCCAATCATCCAAGCACGTCTCAAGATGTGGATGTTCTAGGAGGGAAAAAGATACACAGACATAACATACAGCAACGGGAAGTACCCAGGGCAGCAATCTAGGAGGAGCGAGTAAATGAGTTGGCCGTGAGCACATTTCAGGGGTGCCTGACAAATCCAACTTCGGCGATGGGAAAGGGGAGTCGTTTTCATTCAACCTCTTTCCCCTGTGGGCTCTCAGGATGACCAACAGTTCCTTAAGCCATGAGCACATCACCTGGAAATAGCTGACCTGGTAACCATGCACCTGGGAGCAAGGCTGTTTGTATTCAAATTGCTTATTTTACACTCTCTTCATTCCCCTGCCCATCAAGCATGCAAACACGGTCATGACCATCTTGGGCTTTACTTCCACAAGGTCTTCGGGGAGAGCATACACCCGGGCTCCAATTCTTCTAGCCATGGACACCGCGTACCTGTTTTTGGAGGAGACAGAAATTCAGATGAACTTCTTGTTAGCGAAGGACAGGAGAGGAGACGTCGGTTTCCTCTTATCATTTGGCTGGGATGCAAAACTTTCATAGTGTGGGAGTTCGGATGGGAACATTTTGCTTTTTTTGTTCTCTGTTTTGTTTTAAAGTTTATTTCTATTTATTTTGAGAGAGAGAGAGAGAGAGAGAGAGAAAGAAAGAGTGCATGCACGTGTGGGAGAGGGGCAGAGAGACAGGGAGACAGAATTCTAAGCAGGCTCCGCACTGTCAGCCAGAGCCTGATGTGGGGCTCGATCTCACGAACTGCAAGATCATGACCTGAGCCCAAATCGAGAGATGGACGCTTAACCGACTGTGCCACCCAGGCGCCCCTGTTTTGTTTTTTTGATGTCACTCTTAAGTGACACCAGATTTTTCAGCTCTACTATTTGGGACAGATTTTATCCACTCCATTTCTCCAATATGCAATGAGAATTAATTTTGGAGCACTGACATGACCTGACAATGAAAAAAATATGTATATATAAAATATATATTATATATATAAAAATATATAATTATCCAGGCTGGCTATATAATCAATGTTGACAGTTTCATTGAACACGTAATAGGATAACAGACACTCTAAGATCTCATGTGATCTTAGAGAAAGGGCGTGGAAATCTGTGTCACATGTCAAATCCAAGCTGCTTTGGTGGATACAATGAATACTTCCAAAAAGTCAAGGGCGGGGAGTCTACACGGTACATGAACGGAGTGGTCAGAATAAGGAACAGAAAAGGTACACAAAGTACGGGAAGAAAGAACTGATGTGTCCAGTGGAAGAAATTTGCAAGAGCACACTTCAATTAATCCATGAGACATTTCTAGGTGTTTTGTGACACAAATCTTTGAAGAGGACCACGTCACTGAAAAAGGAAAGTTTTTCGGTGGGCTCGTTTTCAGTGTATGTTAGTCAAGCTTTCATGGGTCACCTGTAAAAGCTAGTCACAGTCTAGGTCTTTGGTGGGGAAGGGAAGTGACAGGTGGAAAAGCCCTTGTCAATATCGTTGGCTTGCAGAAAATTTTCAAGGCATAGGTAGTTTCAGTGGAGGGTTAAGCATCCTGCTCATTTAGGGACCAAGATAATAAACTCAACATATGTAGTAAAGGTGCTCTATGCCCAGTAAAAAAGACATCAGTAAACAATGTGTTTCAAAAAAGAATATTTCTATCTACTCTTATCTATGGCATGAATGTTCTTTTTTTTTTTTTTAATGTTTATTTATTTTTGAGACAGAGAGAGACAGAGCACGAACGGGGGAGGGGGGGGAGAGAGGGAGACACAGAATCCGAAACAGGCCCCAGGCTCCGAGCTGTCAGCACAGAGCCCAACGCGGGGCTTGAACTCACGGACTGCAAGATCATGACCTGAGCCGAAGTCGGACGCTTAACCGACTGAGCCACCCAGGCGCCCCGGCATGAATGTTCTTAGCTCATTCTCCTCTTGTAAGTCTGTAGCTGAGTCACATTAAAACCCAAAGTATATTATTTCGGTAATTTCCCAAAGCCACAACTGATTGAGCACCTACTATGTCAGGCATAATGCTAGGCTCATATATATTTTATTCATTTCAAAATCTCTAAGTATTATTTGTTCCCAATCTACTGATGAGTCTGAGGCTCAAAGAGGTATCCTCAGGTGACACCATTCTTCTTGTTTTTAAGCTTATTATTAAAAAAAATTCTTTTTTAATGTTTATTTGTTTTTGAGAGAGAGACAGAGAGAGTGAGCGAGCATGAACAGGGGAGGGGCAGAGAGAGAGAGAGACACAGAACTCGAAGCAGGCTCCAGACTCTGTGCTGTCAGCACAGAGGCCGACACAGGGCTCGAACTCAGAGCTGTGAGATCATGACCTGAGCCAAATTTGGGCACTCAACCAACTGAGCCACTCAGGCACCTCTATTTTTTTTAAGTTTATTTATTTTGAGAGACAGAGAGAGAAAGAGAGAGAGAGAGAGAGAGATCACAAGCAGGGGAGGGGCAGAGAGAAGGAGAGACAGAATCCCAAGTAGGCTCCACGCCATCAGTGCAGAGCCCGATGCGGGGCTTGAACTCACAAACTGTGACATCATGACCTGAGCCGATATCAAGAGTCGGAGGGACCCTGAACTGAATGCGCCACCCAGGCGCCCCTTTAAAGTTTATTTTCATTTACTTTGAGAGAGACAGAGAGAGAACAAGCAGGGGAAGGGCAGGAGAGAGGAAAGAGAGAATCCCAAGCAGGCTCCACGCGGCCAACGCAGAGCCCAATGCAGGGCTCGAACTCACGAAACATGAGATCATGACCTGAGCTGAAACCAAGGGTCGGACGCTTCACTGACTGAGCCACCCAACTGGGCGCCCCTCAGATAACGCCACTGTTCAGCGGCAGAATCTGAGCGAGAATGCGGACGTGCCCGGCTCCAAAGCCTGTGCTCTTGCCAGAATATTAATCACTACTATCATTGGTATCTCTTACTTGGCGTTATTATGCTTGTCATCTTCTGTCAGATTGCCACTCTTAACAAGGTCATAGTTTATGCAGCCCGGCTGGATGGCATCAATTAAATCCACAACCGCCAAGCTGGAGCTGATCGTCTTGTCCTAGTGCAAAAAGGACAATGAACCTGAGAGTTTCAGTATGCACAAATTAACACGTGATTACTTACAGAAAGCTGCCATAAACAAAGCCCAGTGAATTAAGAGAGTCTTGCCATTAGCCCAGCACTAATTCACACTGACGAAGAAACCCAACGGCTGCCCTTCCAAATTACTGGCACTTTCCGGCAAACATAACGTCTAAGAGTCAAATGTGGAATTCTTGCCTTAAAACTCTGAATGGAAGTTGATTTTCCAGCTTCACTCAATGTTCTGTTCACCCAGCTTACGATGATGTCATCATTAGCTTTCTGCCCGTCTCCAAGGTCTTCCAGAACATTGAGGGTATATCTAAAAGAAGAAGCAGTGTTGTTGTAAGTGATGAATCACCGAATTCTACTGCTGACGCCAATATTGCACTGTATATGTTAACGCACTAGAATTTAAATAAAAATTTGAAAAGAAAAACATGAAATTTGGGGGGGGGAGCCTATGTAACTTAGAACTGTAACATAAACTAATAATAAGGAAAACAAAAATAAAAGAGGTGGAAGAAAAGGTCCTAATCTACTTTAAAAAAAATTATTTATTTTGAGAGAGAGAGAGAGAGAGAG